CCTGAGGTCAGGAGTTCAAGACCAGCCTGGCCAACATGGCAAAACCCTATCTCTACTAAAAATACAAAAAAAAAAAAAAAAAAAGCCAGGCATGGTGGTGCACACCTGTAGTCCCAACTACTCAGGATGCTAAGGCATGAGAATCACTTGAGCCCAGGAGGCAGAGGTTGCAGTGAACTGAGCTCCAACTGTTGCACTCCACAAGCTGGCCACAGTTTAAATAGCAGAGGGGTCTGCCTTCCCCCTGCCCCCGGAAGCAGTGAGGCCTAACCCCATTGAAAGCCCGTTCTGGGTGGTACTTCCTGTCACAGAGGCCTGCCAGCCAGCAGCTGGGACTCGGCTCGTCCCCAGGGATATGTGATCCTCTGAACAATGTTGGGAAAGGAAACTGGGCTCAAGGGCTCCGGGGGGGGTTTCTGGTCATTTTGGTTGTGGGGGTAGAGGGGTAGGGTTGGCGAGGTTCCCTGGGGCAGGGCGGTGGACCTCAGCCTGGTCACTGCTTTTGGAGGTGTTGGTGGAGGAGGAGAGAGGTCTAGGTTTGAAATAACCCTCTAAGAGTTTTTTTTTGGTTTTTTTTTTTTTTTTTTTTTTGGTCAGGGTCTTACGCTGTTGCTCAGGCTGGAGTGCAGTGGTACATGATCTCGGCTCACTGCCTGCGCCCTCTGCCTCCTGGGCTCAAGTGATCCTCCAGCCTCAGCTTCCTGAGTAGCTGGGACTCAGGCACACGCCACCATGCCTGGCTAATTTTTAAAGATTTTTGTAGAGATGGCGGTCTCATCATGTTGCCCAGGCTAGTCTTGAACTCCTGGGCTTAAGTGGTCCACCCTCCTTAGCCTCCCAAATAGCTGAGATTACAGGTATGAGCCAATGTGCCCAGACCACAGATATTTTTCAAAACACCTTTATTGAGATATAATTCACATCCCATGCAACTCATCCATGTGAAGTGTACAGCACAGAGACTTCAGCACATTCACAGGGCTGAGCAGCCATTGTCACAATCAATTTTAGAACCTTCCTATCATCCCAAAGAGCAGCCCTGTACCCCTTATCTGTTACCTTCTGATAGGCCCACTCTCTGCGTTCCTGGTCCTTGGCAACCACTGATCTACGTTCTATTTCTATGGATTTGCTGATTCTGGATATGCCAAAGGTGGGTCTTATGATGGGGAAATTAGGTCCAAAGCAGGTGGCTGAGCAACCCACAGTCATACAACTAAGGAAGGCGCAGACCTGGGACTGGAGCCCAGATTCCCTGCTTTCCAAGTTCATGCTTTCACAGTAGGTCTTCTTCCCAGTAACAATTCCTAAAATAGCCAGCCCTGGTTTTGCCCCATGGGGATGAGTGCTTTACCTCCCTCATCTTACAATCCCCCTCAGATGTAGGTACATTTCTGATACCCATAGGTATAATAATGAGGTAACTGATACCCAGAGAGGCTAATGGTCCAATGCACCATGGCCGCCAACAAAGAGAAGAGGGTAATAGGGAAAAGCATTTGCATGCTCAACGACTGGTGAGCAACACAGAATACAAAGAGTCAAGATGATGGAGCTTAAAATGTAATTTTCTTTCAGGTTTTTCTTTCTTACCCACCCACCCCCCTCCTTCTTTCTTTTATAGGAAAAGGAAAAGAAAGATTCCCCCTAGCCTTTGAGGTCACTTGCTGACCCATTTGTGAATCTATGTAGAGTGGCTACACACACACATCTCCCTGCCTGAATGTCTCTTATTAATCTGGGGATGGGTGGCAGGTCACTATGCCCATGGGCTTTGACACCAGACAGGCTGAGGTTCAAGTCTTGCCCCCACCACTGACTTAACCCCCTCCAGCCCTCTGACAGCTAACCTGTGACAGGGTCTTTCTACCGCATGTGTCTGAACCCACAGAGTGGTTTCTTTCTTTTTTTTTTTTTTGAGACGGAGTCTCGCTCTGTCGCCCAGCCTAGAGTACAGTGGCACGATCTTGGCTCACTGCAATCTCCACCTCCTGGATTTACGCCATTCTCCTGCCTCAGCCTCCTGGGTAGTTGGCACTACAGGCGCCCGCCACCACATCTAGCTAATTTTTTTGTATTTTTAATAGAGACGGGTTTTTGCTGTGTTAGCCAGGATGATCTCCATCTTCTGACCTCGTGATTCACCTGCCTCGGCCTCCCAAAGGGCTGGGATTACAGGCGTGAGCCACTGCGCCTGGCCCAGAGTGGTTTCTTTCCCTACCTATTTTATTCCTTGAAAAAGAATAAATACACAGAATGATTCCTTCCCTATCTATTATCCTTTGGAAAATAAGTGTCATTTTACACTGGAGTCTTCCCAGAGCAGCGGCTGCCACCTTGAGGATGATGATGATTGTTATTTTTGAGATGGAGTCTTGCTCTATCACCCAGGCTGGAGTGCAGTGGTGCCACCTTGACTCACTGCAACCTCTGCCTCCTGGGTTCAAACGATTATCCTGCCTCAGCCTCCCAAGTAGCTGAGACTACAGGTGTGTGCCAACATGCCTGGTTAATTTTTGTGGTTTTAGTAGAGAGGGGGTTTTACCATGTTGGCCAGGCTCATCGTGAACTCCTGATCTCAGGTGAGCTGCCTGCCTTGGCCTTCCAAAGTGCTGGGATTACAGGCATGAGCCACTGCACCCAGCAGATTATTTTTATTTTGAACAACCAAGTTAGAGTTTGAGAAAGAGATGAGGGCCCCCAGTACTCTCTTTCAATCCACTGATTCCTTCAGTTGTTCACCTGGTGGAGCGGGATTGGGCTGGGAGTTGGTTAGCAAAAAATGAGGCAAGGAAGAAAAGGAATTAAAAACCTGAAAGAAAAGAAAGCAAACTGCCATCTACTATGACCATTATCTCACACACAATGGACATTTTAACTCAAAATGCTATAGGCTCACAGACATAGATTAAACAGAAACCTGTTCTTCATGTTCTTATTTTTTTTGCTTGGTTCCCACAGATGAGAGAAAAATCCAGCCAGAATTGGCATCTGTCAAGATAGGCTTTTAGGAGTCACGGTTCCCTAGAGTGGTCTCCGCACATTCTCATTTTGTCAGCAAGAGATTTAACCCACTCCCCTATCCATGTAGACTTTGTAATAAATTATACATATATATGACTGTTCAAATATATTATGTACATTATATAACACATACTAAAACAAAAGTGTGAAAAAGATTGGTTGAAATAAATACAAGCTGAATTCTTAAAAAAAAAAAAAAAAATTGAGGCAAAGAAATTGCCCCTAGATGTAGCCATTTTTTCCTGGGGAATTGGCCCCCATGACTTCAAGTGATTGATGTGATGAGTCCTTCCAAGATCTCTTTTAAAAGTTGATGTGTTAAGTGATCTGTGTTGATGAGCACGGGTGCACACCCTGGTTGGGAGTGCTGAAAGAAATGAATCCACAGATCTTGCGAAGTCAGCAAATGAATCCTGTGGCTTGGGATACAACATTGACAGTGATATTCCTCAATTCAAAAATTCTATAACAGGCTGGGCGCAGTGGCTCATGCCCGTAATCCCAGCACTTTGGGAGGCCAAGGTGGGTGGATCACTTGAGGTCAGGAGTTTCAGACCAGTCTGGCCAACATGGTGAAACCCCATCTCTACTAAAAATACAAAAAATTAGCTGAGCATGATGGCATGCACCTATAATCCCAGCTACTCAGGAGGCTGAGGTAGGAGAATCACTTGAACCTGGGAGGTGGAGGTTGCAGTGAGCCGAGATCGTGCCCCTGCACTCCAGCCTGGGCAACAGAGTGAGACTTCATCTCAAACAACAACAACAACAACAACAACAACAACAACAACAATAACAACAACAAATCTATAACACACCGGGTGCAGTGGCACAAGCCTGTGATCCCAGTGCTTTGGGAGGTAGAGGCAGGAGGATTGCTTGAGGTCAGGAGTTCAAGACCAGCCTGGGCAACGTAGTGAAACCTCCTGTCTAAAAAAGAGAAAATTAGCCAAGTGTGATGTGCGTCTGTAGTCCTATCTCTTAAGGAGGTGGAAGTAGGAGGATCGCTTGAGCTCTGGAGTTCGAGGATGCAGTGAGCTATGATGGCACCACTGCACTCCAGGCTGGGTGACAGAGACCCTGCCTCTTTGAAAAAACAAGGTATAACTCAAGCAACTTAGAAGTGAAATTCAAGTGTGTAACAGCTGTCTAGGTGCCTCTGAAGCTAGGTCTAGTCACAACGAAGATACCTCCATTAAAGAGCATAGGAAGGGTTTAAATCAGATAGCTTCATGCAACATACGAACGAAAAAAATAAATTTCTTAAAGAACATATTAGCTTCTTCTCATGAGATCAGGAAAACGGGACATCAGTTGTCTGGGGTTCTTTACTCCTGACTCTCTTTGGGCCTGGCACTGTGTTGATCACGTTTTTCAGCTGGGGAAACCGAGGCTGTTGGTATTTAAGTGGTCTGCCTAAGGTAAAGGGTACTCTGACTCCAGCGCAGCCTCAACGAGGGCTTCAAATTAGGGCCATGAATTGGCAATTCCTGGCGGATGATTGTGAGGAGTATATTTATTTTTATTAATTAATTAATTAATTGATTAATTAATTAATTTATTTTTGAGACGGAGTGTCCCTTGGCCACACCCGTCCTAGCTCATTGCTGCATCGAACTCTCCAGCTCAAGCGATTCTCCCGTCTAGGCTCCCCAAAGTGCTGGGATGACAGGCGTGAGGCCGGGCGCCCGACCGGGAGTGTGTTAAGTATACAGTAAACACCTGGACTGCGGCCGGCGCTCCAGGAATGCTGCGATATTGGTGCACTCCCTTTGCACCTGGCCAAGTGGCCTCGGGCAGGTAGCCTCCCCTCGGGCTGCCTCAGTTTCTTCCTTGGCACGCAGAGGCGGGGCTCCAGGCCTGGGCCGCCCCACGGCTGGGAGGGCGCGGGGACGCGGCGCTCGGGGTGCGCTCCGCGAGGCAGATCAGACTGGGCGCGCCAGGGGCGGGGCGGGGCGGAGCGGGGGGCGGCCCCTGAGGATCACGTGGCGCGGGGCCGCGGCCGAAGCAGAAGTAGCGAGAGCCGGTGGCCGAGGGCGTGAGCCGCGGGGAGTAACCCGAGTCCGGACGCGGGCGGCTGCGCGCGGGACCTGGGAGCCCAAACCCGGGGCAGGCGGGCAGCTGCGCCCGGGCGGCACGGCCAGGTGAGCTGCTCGGCCGGGAGCGAGGCAAGCAGGGCGCCCAGGGACCTGCGCCCGGCGGGGACCGGCGCCCAGGGCGCTGTATCCGAGGGGTCTGCGCCCTGGTTCAGCCGGAGCGGGCAGGGACGGGGCGCACCCTCCGGGACCCCGGCCCGCCGTGTCCGGGTCCGTTTGGTGACGGCAGGGATCCTGGCTCAGCCGCCGGCACTTCCTCACCCGGGGCCAGCGCCACCTCTCCGGTCTGTGCGGTGGGGCGGCCCCAACTTTGAATGGGGACCCGGAGGAAGGTCAGAGGTCGTGTGGGGGCTGGCGTTCAAAACTCCTCTTTCCGAGCGGCTCTACGTGGGGGTGGCGCAGTCTCTCCTGACCGCCCCTGTGCTCAGAGCTCTCGGACGCTCGGAGCCACACTTCCCCGTCTCACTTGGGTGGTTGCGGGTGGCGGGTGGGAGCGATACCGCGGGAGGCGCAGTCCTTCCCCGAGACTTTTGGAGAGCTTGCAGGACACTCGCGATGCCCGCTCCACAACTCTCTGCGTAATTATGCGTGTGTCTGTGCGTGTTCCTGGTTATACTTTGGAATCCTAATGAGGGCATTACCTGCACAGCAAGAGTTCAAGTTAAAGATGTGGCCCGTTTGGACAGGGAGCTCCTGGATTCCAGCAGGAGGGTGGGGCGGAGCTCTGTTGGTACCCAAATCTTGAACTAGGGTGAGAAACTATGGTGGGGTGGTGTTAAAGGGGTGACATGCTCGAGGGTAACAGGTGGCCTTGTCCATCAGAATTTAATTTGAATTTCAGTTCCATCAGTGTGACCCCGGGCAAGTTGAAGAACCTTTTTGAGTCTGTTTCCCCTTCTGGATACTGGAGCCACCCAAGCCTGTTTTCCAGGGCTGTGTCGAGATTATTGCTGTTCCACGAGGTTCGCTGAGAATCGGGGCGCATCCGTGGAGAGTCCTCGGGCAGTTCCTGACTCTCTGGTTCAAGGGCATTCTGTGGGGGCATGGGCCTTCGTCCTTAGCTACAGTTCTGTAGGGGAAGTGTTAAAGAATTTTGAAGTCTATGCCAGCCTCACACAGTTTCTCTTGCAACGGTGTGTGTGCACTCACGTGTATGCTAACTCAGGGCCAATCATCCTTGTGAGCCTCACTGATGTTTAAGTCACCTAATGATGCAGCTGCCGCCCCCCACCAGCGAATGGAGTATGGGCAGTTCCTCTAGAAGAGGAAAAGCAGAGACCCCATGAGTAGCTGTTTTGCACTCATTTGGTAGAGTCAGTGAAAAACTGCTGGTGAAAAAACTTGTGAAAATACTTCTTGGTTGGGCGCGGTGGCTCACGCCTGTAATCCCAGCACTTTGGGAGGCCGAGGCGGGCGGATCTCTTGAGGTCAGGCGTTCCAGACCAGCCTGGCCAACATGGTGAAAACCCATCTCTACTAAAACTATAAAAATTACCTGGGCGTGGTGGGGTGAGCCTGTAATCCCAGCTACTCAGGAGGCTGAGGCAGGAGAATCACTTGAACCCAGGAAGTAGAGATTGCAGTGAACCCAGATCGTGCCACTGCACTCCAGCCTGGGTGACAAGAGGGAGATTCTGTCTCAAAACAAACAAACAGACAAACACTTCTTAATTTATAAAACAGCAAGAGGACAAAGAGAAAAGTTTTCCTGTTACATCATCACTTAATATAAAGTCAAGTCGTATCCTCTACCCTCTCCCAGCCTCCAATAAATACTAACCACTCTCCTGGATTGACCAGCAGATCGCCTTTATAAAAATGGAATTGTATTATACTCATACACTTGCAACTATTGTTTGCAACTATTTTTTTATTGACTTCACAAATCTTTCCAGATCCAATTGCTTATCCATCATCCTCATTCTTTCTGATAGCAACTGAGCATTCTTCAGTGCGTGTGCACCATGGTTTATCCAGGAGGCCCCCCACATTGATGAGCAATTGTTTCCTGTTTTTTTTTTTTTCTTTTTTTGGTATTTCTATTGCAAATATTGCTTCCATGATTTTCTGTCATATATTGCATCTTTGTGCATGTCTTTCTGTACATGTACAATTGCAGGATTGAAGCATAGGCATGTTTTGCTTTTTAATAGCTGCTCACAGGTTGCCCTAAAAGAGCAGGGGTGGAATTGACACTCTCACCTCCAGTGGCTGACACCGTTCCTTTGAGAGTGGTGTATCCCCTCTGATGCCACAGGGTGGGTGTCAGGTGCAGTGGGAATGTCCCTTGAACTGTTGGAGGGCCCTTACCACACAAGTATTTGCCTGTGCCCCATTTTAGCAGAATTGTTTTGTGGGATTTTGGATGAAATGCTGTACCGGCTTACCATGCAGAGAGCACTGAAGAGACAGAAACTTCCTTGATTTCTGTCTGGTTTGGTGTCTTTATATCTCATTTCATGCCCTTCTAAATAAGTTTATGAAATACAAGAACATGAATGATCTTTTGAGATACAAGAAAATGTCCTTTAGAAGGACATGAAATGTAAAAATGGCAGAAATCAGTTATTCAAACTCAGCCATGTTTGTATTTACAAAATAAGTGATTTTATAGAATTACCCATTAAGAATGGGAAACAGGAACAAAAAAGGAATTTCAAGCCTTTTTTTTTTTTTTTTATTGAAAAAACAACAACAAAAAAGCAGAAGCAACATGGAAGTTGCTGTGATGGCTGGTGCACTCCCCTGGGGTCAAGGCCTTGGAGACCTCCCTGCCATAGTTGCTAAAGCATGGCACGCCGGAGGCCTTAGCTGGGTGCTGGCAGGATTTGAAGGGTGGACTCCAAGAATCTTTTGGCCATGAAGATCTGTTTCCAATTGTATCTCATGAGCTCATTCAAGTTCTTGTATCTCATAAGCTTCTTTAGAAGGGCATTTCGTGAGATACAAGAACCCCAAACCAGAAATCAAAGAAGTTTCTGTCTCTTCAGTGCTCTCTGCATGGTAAGCCAGTACAGGATTTCATCCAAAATCCCATAAAACAATTCTGTTAAAATGGGGCACAGGCAAATACTTGAGTGGTAAGGGCCCTCCAATAGTTGAAGGGACGTTACTACTGCACCTGACACCACCCTGCAGCAACAGAGGGGACACAGTGTTTTCAAAGGAACGGTGTCAGCCACTGGCGGTGAGAGTGTCAATTCCACCCGTGCTCTTTTAGGGCAACCTGTGAGCAGGTATTAAAAAAAAATTGGTGAGAGGCAGCATGGAAGAGCTGGTGTTTATGGCTGAGCTGATCCACTGGGCTTCCAAGCTGGAAGTAACTGGAACCCTGGGGAAGGTTAAGTCCAAAGCCTTCCCAGGTCCAGGGCTGGAAAGAACTGAGGAGCCTGGTCCCTTGTCCTGGTTTCTGTCTAATTGAAGGTGTTATAATGGGGCTTGTGTTTCCTACTTATGTTCCAGTGGACGATGACCTAGAGACCTGGGAGTGGGGAACTCCAGGATGCGTGGCTGGGGACAGTCAACATAGTGAAGAGCTTTGTGGTTGGCACCTGGGTCAAATCCAGTTTCAGCTACTGTCTATCTGTGTGACCTTGGATAAGTCCCTTAACCTCTTTTGAGAGGGGCAAGTACTGGCAAATCAGTTAATATCTGGCCAGATTCTACCACAGGGTTCTGGACTGGGGGCTTGGGACTCAGGTGAGGGTTTTGATCTTTGTGCTGCCACTGGCCTACATGACTTTGATCAAGTCATGTGACCTCTTGGGATTTCAGTTTTCCCCTGCAGTATTTCCCATTGAGATAAATGAGATGAACCAGACATGACAGGTGCTTGGCACCCAGGGAGGTACCCAATAAACGGCTGCTTAACAGGGATAAAGTAGGCCATGGGGGCACCTTGTTCATCCCTTTGTCCTGGGTAATGATCAGGAGGTTATTTTAGGTTTCTCCTGATAAGGTAAGATGCACATTAACTCTCAGCAGGGTTTTTAGCATACTCTGTTCTGCCTGGTGGTCTTTGCTTAAACTTCAAGCCAGTTCCTCCTGCTTCATCTTTTTTGGCAGATTGAATTCAGATGCCTGCTTTTTTCCCCTGAAAACTTTTTCTGAGTCCTTTAAGTGCCTAGCCCCACTCCAGATTAAATTTAGGGGCCTTTCGTGATGCTCTCTGCCCGCCACCTCCCCATGCATGCTTCTGCTGCTGCACTTGTAACTACATTAGAATTCTCAGTTAATTAGTCTGTTTCCACATGAGCACAGGGCAGGTGTAATTATCTCCTGTTGCTGGTGTGGTTGGCCGAGGAGGTGCCTTTGGTATGAGTGTGCAGTAGAGGGAGGTGGGGGCAAAGGGCAAATCCTGAGCCCCTCCCCATTCCCCTCATTTGCATCCTAGTCCCCAGCTCAGTGCCTGGCATAGAGTTGACATTTGATTAATGCCTTCCCCAGTGCCTGATTAATGTTAACTGAGACCCTGCTAAATGCTGCAGGCTGTGCATACCTTGTAGTTTTTCGTCCTCCCAGTCGCCCCTTGTGGACATTTAACCTCCATTTTACAGATGAGGGAAGCGAGGCACAGATTTAGAGCAGCTTGGCAGGAGGCTGAGCCGGGCGGGAAGCGCAGACAGCCCTGGCTGAACACCAGCTTCTCAGAACTCCTTCCTCTTTAGATCCTGGAAAGGTCTCTCCTCTGTAACCTTGAGAGCTACAGAGTAACAACTCCAGGCATCTACAGGGACCTGGAGGGAAAGAAGGAGATAAGAAACAGAACAAATAATGGTAATTTTAACAATAGCTTAATCTAATAAGTGCTGACTTTGTATCATTGTTTTAAGGGCCTGAGATACATTATCTTGTTTAAGCCTTACAAACACATTTAGATGGTGGATACTGTTACCTTCTTTTATGGGATTGGAAATGAGCCCAGAGGATCTAAGTGACTTCTTCTAGTGGCTGCGGCCTAGCTGGCAAGGGGGTCCCTGGTGGCTCAGCTCCAGGGCCTGGGGAGCTCCGTCACTCTAAGTCCTATTTTGGGGGCAGGCAATGTGTTTCTGGGGATTAGGGAGGCAGAATAAGGGGATGGTACAGAGTGAGGGCTCAGGGAGTGACTACAGATTTTGAGCAGAGGAGTGACATGATTTGATTCATGTTCTAAAAGGATCTTTCTGGCTCTGGGTTTGAGAATTAACCCTAGCAGGTCAGGGAAGAAGTGGGGAGACCAGGATTAGAATAGTTCAAGTATGAGATCCTAGGAGGAGCCGGTGAAAGGGTGAGATGCATTGGAAGTGGTCATGAGAGAGTCCACGAAAGGATTCCTCCAAGATTTTGGGCCCAAACACCTCTCTGACACCGCCCACGAGCTTAAACAGCAATCAAGGACACCTTCTAGGTGCTGGGCATCACCCCAGGTGCTTTGCTGGGGCATTTTTGAACACTCCCATTTTAAAAAGGCTGAAACAGGCCCAGAGAGGTCAAGCAGTCTACCCAGAGCCACACAGTCAGCAGGAGCCTTCTCTGGGGTTTGAACTTGAAGCTTCCAAGAGCTGACATTTCCTGCCTTTTATCCTCATTTCTATGCAGAGGAACCATTTGCCAAGGTCTCCATGGACGCTTCTGAAGGTTGGGTTTGATTTTTGTTTATTTCATTTTTTTGTGTGTTCTTAGTTTTGCTTAGGAAGTAAAGAGATGGTTAGCAATCTCTAGACAGGATAGAGAAGGATATTGGAGATCAGGGGTGAGAGATGGGAGCCAGGCTGGGCTGTTTTGGCTATTCAAATATTCTGTAGGATAAGAGTGGTTGGGGAGAGAGGAGGTCACTGCCAGGCCAGGGTGATTTGGTTATTCAAAGCCCAGGTAACGGTTGGGTCCTTGAGGCCAGGGGCTCTTCTCACACTTCAGTTTCTATTTAAACCTTTGTGTCCTGCCGACGCTCTCTGAGTGGCCAGCAATGCCTTGCCACTAGAACCTTCTCCTAAAACTCATCCTGATTGACATGAGACAGGATTTTGGTTCCTGAAGTTCGTGCCCTGTTACCTAAATCCCCTTCAATACTAAAGTCAGTTCACTCTTTAATTCTGCCCTTTCAGCCTCCTGATTTCTCCTGATTCCTTCCTTCCTCTCTGGAGTGGCCCACAATGTCCACCATGGTCAGTGTGGATTCCCTTGCGGAATATGAGAAGAGCCAGATCAAGAGAGCCCTGGAGCTGGGGACGGTGATGACTGTGTTCAGCTTCCGCAAGTCCACCCCTGAGCGGAGGACCGTCCAGGTGATCATGGAGACACGGCAGGTGGCCTGGAGCAAGACCGCTGACAAGATCGAGGGCTTCTGTGAGTATTCACTGGGTGGGGCAGTGTGGCCCGTCCTCTGGGACCCTGGCCTGAGCACCTGTCCACCTTCCTATCTTGTCATTACTGTGATTGCTGTTGGTTTGATGTGTTCTTTTATTCTTCTGAAAATGAAAGCATTGCCAGTTTGTGTGGGTCTCTGATGAGGTTTTCAGCAGGTGGAGGAAGTTCAGCCAGGACAGCTCTGGTGAAATAACAGAAGCCGGGGTCAGCCAACTTGGAAACGGCATTCGGGCAGCCCTCCTTGCCTGGTGGATCTGTCCCCTATCTGACAGCATCAGGGATCATCTGCTTCCCACAGCTGGTCGAGTCGTCTGTCCTCTTAGGGGCTAACTAGCCCAAGCTTGCAGAAACTCATAGCGTGGTCACCAAATGCTATCGTGTTTTACTGCACACCACAGCAGTGAGGGGCCTTCGCTTTAGTCTCCAAGCAGGGAGAGTGAGTTGTTGAATGTTTTGTAGCTTTCAAATGCAGCTCTGGTCCTGGTAGAGGTGTCCGAGGTGTCCTTCCTCCCCCACCTCCTTTAGATTGGTCTACGGGTTCAGATCCTAAAGTTTCTAAGACTGTTTTTAACTAATAAAGGCACTTAAGCAATTTTCAGTTGCAAAGATTTGCTCTAATTTGTGTTTTTAAATTAACTAGTTTTTAATTGAAATATATATTCCTGGGGGTTAAGGAGTCAACTCAAATGTTTCTCTTTCCCAGCCCCTAATCCATGCTACTGAGGCAAGCTCGTTACAAATTACTTTTATCTTCCAGAAATAGCCTATGCTTGCATAATGTGGGTTAAAAAAATGGGAACTCCTGTACACTTCTGCACGTTGACTTCTTTTTGTTAATTAATAATGATGTTGGAGGTGGTTTCTTATCAGCACACATTGATCTCATTCTTTCTTTGACACATGACATGTAATGGCACAGGACTTAATGTAACAGTTTAACTCCAGAGAGGAGCATTTTGTGCTATTTCCAGGCTTTTCTTATTAGTCGAAGTGACTATCTTTGTGCTGTTTTTTTAAACAAATTTAATTTTTTTGAGATGGAGTCTCTTTCTGTTACCCAGGATGGAGTGCAATGGCATGATCATGGCTCACTGCAGCCTCAACCCCCTGGGCTCCAGTGACCTTCCCGCCTCAGTCTCCCAAGTAGCTGGGACCATGGGAATGCACCACCATGCCTGGGTAATTTATTTTTATTTTTATTTTTATTTTATTTTATTTTATTTTATTTTATTTATTTTATTTTATTTTTTTTGTAGAGATGGGATCTCGCTGTGTCTAGGCTGGTCTCGAATTCCTGTGCTCAAGTGATCCTCCCTCCTGGGCCTCCCAAAGCATTGGGATTATAGGCATGAGCCATCTCATCCAGCCTTGTACTCTTTTTTTTTTTTTTTTTAAATAATAGTTTTATTAAGACATAATTCACATAATATACATAGAATTCACCCGTTGTATGCAGCGTGTATAGTGTGGTGGTTTTAGTATATTTATATATATGTGCAAGCACCACTACCATCAAATGTAGAATATTTATATCACCTCAAAATGAAACCCCATACCTTTCACCATCGCCCCATCCCCTCATCCCCCCTACCAGACGTAAGCAACTGTTAAATTTAATTCTGTTTCTATAAACCTCCCTGTTCTGGACATTTCATAGAAATGGCTCTATATATGTGGGCTTTTGTGACTGGCCTCTTTGACTCAGCATTTTTCAAGGTTCATCTTCTTTGTTGTGTGGACCAGAAATTTCCCTTTTTATGGCAGAATCATGATACATTGTATGGATGTTCCACAATTTATGTAGTCAATCATCTGTTGAGAACACTTGGGTTGTTGCCGCCCTTTGGCTAACGTAAATAGTGCTGCTAAGAATGTTTCTCTACAAGTTTTTGTGTGGGTGTCTGTTTTTATTTCTTTTGGGTATATACCTAGAAGTGGAATTGCTGGGTCTTAGGCTAACTCAGTTTCATCATTTTAGGAACGGTCAGACTGTTTTCCCAAGTGGCTGCACCATTTATATTCCCTCCAGTGATAGAGAAGGGTGATCCTTGCATTATTCTTCCTGTGTATGTATGGGTACATCCGAAGGACAGCTTCCTGGAGGTTTATTTCTGAGCTGAAGGCTATGGCATATTTTAACTTTAAAGGGAAGTTTGGCAGCACCCCGCAAAAGAGGTTGCCCCACTGTATGTTTCAGCTACAAGGTGTAAAAGTACCTGTTGCCTGCACCCTCATCTATGCTGCCTGGCTGCTAAACTTGGCCACCCACAGGTAGATTTTGGTAGCTTGGTGTCATCCTTAATTTGATGTATCCTATCATGAGTGTGATCAAATTGCTTTCTGAAAGGCTTCTCCTGGTTTCGGAGCAAAGTGGGTCTCTTGTGGCACAGAGCCAGAGCCCTGATTTGAAACTGCCCGTGTGGAGGTAGCCATCTTCCCTCTCCACTGTTTGCATTGGTCGGCTCCACCCCCAGGTGGCCCAGAAACCTGTTGCAGCTTGGGTGGCCACCCTCCCTTCCCCCCAAGGGGTGAGAGGGTTGGCACTGATGGTAAATACAGGTGTGCCATGTTGAGAGTGGACTGCAGGTTGTTCCTTTCTCTTCTCAACCTGCCCATCCCAAGCCTAGCTGCCCATCAGAAACACCCAGGGAGGATCTTGGAAGTATAAGGTATTACCATGGCATGTGTATACACCTAGGCAACCAACGTGAATGTTCTGCACATGTATCCCGGAACTTAAAGTAAAATAAAATAAAATATATTTATAAAAGAAAGTAGAGCATATTGGAACCTTCTTCTGAAGCTCATTCTGATGGGCATGAGATAGGATTTTGGCTTGAAATCTATGCCCTGTCATTTTCCCCTTCTGCTAAGTAATATCACTTCACTCGCTTATGTGGGTGCACTCTCTTACTCTTGCTCTCTATCTTAGAGGCAGGGTCTTGCTCTGTTGCCCAGGCTAGAGTGCAATGGCCTGATCATGGTTCACTATAGTTGTGAACTCCTGGGCTCAAGTGATCCTCCTGCCCTGTCTCCCATGTAGCTGAGACTACAGGTGAGCATCGCCATGCCTTGCTGGTATTTGAACTTTTGTGTAGATAGGGTCTTGCTATGTTGCCCAGGCTGGTCTCAAACTCCTGGCCTCAAGTGATCCTCCCACCTTGGTCTCCCAAAGTGCTGGGATTACAGACAGGAACTACCATGCCTGGCCTCAATTCATTCTTTTATTTATCTGTTCATCCTCTTTGTTTCCTTCTTCTTTCTCCCTGGAGTGACCAAGAATGATGATATTTTGCCACTTTGGCTGGGGCGTTGTATTATAATAAATCCCCCAGATGGTCTGGTAACTAGGCAAGTTTCGCACATATGCCACTGAAGAGAAACTGCCCTTCTTTCCCCTTCCCCCTCCTCTCCCTCCTTTTCTCCCTCCCACTTTCTCTTTCTTTCTCCTTCCCTTCCCACCTTTACTCCTCTCCTTTGCCTCCCCTCTGCCATTTGAATGCCTGCTGTAGGCACTGCCCTAGGCACTAGAGATATATAGCAGTTATTAAATTGGATTCAAATCTTCATGGAGCCTATATTGCTTTATCAGGTATGAGCAGTATGGGGCTTGACTTCCAGTGCCATTGGATGAACTTTGCTGTGTGATCTTGGGCAAATTACCTCCACTCTCTGAACTTTAATTCCCTTATCTGTGGATTGGAAATAACACTGGTGTCTACCCCACAGGGTCCTGGTTGGGAAGAAGCAAATGAGAAGATGCATCAGAGAGGCTCAGCTGAATTCATAGCATGTGACAGGCACTCAGTTGTTGGGAACCACCACTGTCGTGATTTTTGCTGTTGTTGCTTAACTAGTAGAGTCCAGCCTGTGTAGGGAATTAAAGTCTTGCTTAGGGGTTTGGACTGCAGGGGAGTAGGGTCCATTCTCAGGTTTTCAGAAGAAGGACGACATGATTGGATTTACACCTTTTTTTTTTTTTTTTTTTTGAGATGGAGTCTCGCTCTGTGGCCCAGGCTGGAGTGCAGTGGCCGGATCTCGGCTCACTGCAAGCTCTGCCTCCCGGGTTTACACCATTCTCCTGCCTCAGCCTCCCGAGTAGCTGGGACTACAGGCACCCGCCACCTCGCCCGGCTAGTTTTTTGTATTTTTTAGTATAGACGGGTTTTCACCGTGTTAGCCAGGATGGTCTCGATCTTCTGACCTCGTGATCCACCCGTCTCGGCCTCCCAAAGTGCTGGGATTACAGGCTTGAGCCACCGCGCCCGGCCTGGATTTACATCTTTGAGCACACTGTGGAGGTCCTGTCTGAGATGATGGTGTTGGTGAAGTGACAGGGAAAGCCAATTATGTGTGAAGAGCTTATAAATGGTCCTTCCCCCTCACACCTTGAGAGAGCCTTCAGGCCCTGGGTGGGGACTGTCAGTGTCACCGCTCAGTCTCCTGCTGAGAAGGGTGACATTTCATCTCAAGAAGAACTCCCAGCTCTGGCAATTCATTCACGGGGTTCTGGTTAGCAGGAACTTGCTGGTTATTGTGGGGTCTTCAGGGGCAGGTACACATGAGAGGAGCACCGGCACGTGGTTTTGGAATAGTTGGCAAGTGGTGTGTGACTTTTGGACAGGTGTTACAATCCCTGTGCAGCCCTGGGTAAAACACTGGGTCCTACTGTCTAAAGCAGTGCGTGGTTGTCAGTCAGGGTGATTTTTGCCTCCCCGTCCCTACTCCAGGGCAGGGGGCATTTGGCAATGTCTGGAGACGTGTTTGATTTTCTCATCTGGGATACAGGGTGCTACTGGCATCCAGTGTGTAGAGGCCAGAGAGGATGCTAAACGTTCTACAGTGCACAGGACAGTCCCCACTACAGAGAGTGATCCAGCAAACATGTCAGTGGTGCAGGGGTTGAGAAACCGCTGTAGAGTCATGTGTTTGCTTTGCTCACAGCAATAAAATGTCACTGGGTAAAATAGGGTTTTGCT